AAGATAGAGAAAAACATTCATTCAAACACTGTGAAGATCAGTGGCTGTTTTCCTAGTTCAGAATATACAAACAAATTCCTAGTACATCAATATTAGAGAATTTGTTCAGTTCAATAAAACACAATAACATACACACCTAAAGGAATATATTGATGTGTGTTTTGCTGTGTTTTGATTTGCTTGTTTAGTAGTGCTAAGAACCAGGTGAGGGCCTTATATAAACTAGACAGATATTCCACTACTGAACTATAACCTTTATGATTTTGTTTGTTTATTTTTGGATACAAGATCTCTCAATATAGCCCTGGCTGTCCAGAACTCTATGTAAACCAGGCTGGCTTCAAACTCATAGAGCTCCTCCTGCCTCTGCGTCTCAAGTGCTGTGATGACAGGAGTGTGCTACCAAGCCAGGCTTGGAGCTATATTCTTAACTGATGTGTACACATATATTGTGAACACAAAATTCTATTAGGTGGACTAATCATATTTACAATTACTGCCAGTGTCAAAGAATAAAAAATATAAATGAAGACAGCCAAAAAAAGTACTGGTCTCTTTAAATAAGAGTACCCAGGAAGCTGGTATTTACATGAAAAACTCTGGAAAGCACATGATAAACAGTACGAGGGCCTAGGGAGATGGCTAGGCTCACAAAGTGCTTGCTGAACCAGCATGAGGGGCTAAGTTCAGACACCAAACATCTATGTACCAAGTCAGACACAGAACCACATGCTCATACTCCCACCACTGGGAAAGTGGACACAGGCCGACCCTTGTGGTCTGCTGGCCAGCTAATCTTGCTAAATCAGGTAACTGCAGGTTCAGTGAGAGAACCTAGATCAAAAACGGTAAGATCAAGTGAGTAAAGAGAGACAAACACCTGATATCAACCTCTGGCCTGAAACTGCATGGATACAGACTGTGTACTCACACCTGCACATAGACACATGAACAAGGATATATGTATATGCATATACTTACATATATACAATAAACATAAAAAACAAAGCGTGTAAGTCACACTACTTAAAAATCTTGTGTGAAAACTCAATATAATAGGGCCAGGGGAGATGGCTCAGTGCTGTGTAAGTATGAGGTGCAGAATTCAGATACTCAGAACTCATATAAAATCCAGGGTATGTACTGGCTTACCTGTAATCTCAAAATTCAGGAGGCTGAGACAAGGAATCTTTGGGACAAGGTATCTAACTAGACTAGCAAAAATGGCAAGCTCTAGGTATGAGAGAGACGTTGCCTAGAGACATAAGGGGAAGAGTGATCAAAGAAACACCCAATGTCAATCTTCAAACTCCAACTGCACACACGCACATACAGAAGCACCCATGCACACATATGGGCATCTGGACCCACATATGTGAACATATACACAAACGTAATTACCACACATACTTAAAAAACCACTTACTATAAAACTAAAATAGTAATATCATCTAACTCTATTTTGAAGCAAAGAGATCAAACAACTATAACACAGATAAGTAAACCACATGAGTATTTTATACAGATCCCTATCACAGTGTAAAGTGAGTACGGAAACCACATACAGGATGATGGTTCAATCTGAAGTTTTTACAGAACATGTATGTCAGAAATGGATGCTGTTAAAGCTCACAGTACAGACACTGGCTGCAATGCTTGCTTGCTGACATTCCACTTTTGCGATATTACGTGGCAATACTACTAACCTTTCCTAGGCTGGATTTCTAGCCTGCAGTGTTAGACACGAGTATTTCCACTTCAAAGGAGAATTGTTGTAAACTACATGCAAATGGCCTGGCACAGGTCACGTCTGTACTACAAGAAGATAATAACAGGGGTTATTTTGTGACCCTATCTTATCCTTAAAAGTGGTCTTGGGGCTTACAAGATGGCTCAGCAGGTAAAGGTGCTTGCTCCCTAGGCCTGACATCCCACATTGCAGCCCTAAGATGCAGGTATAGGTAGAAGGAGAAAGCTGACTGTACAAAGTTGTCCTCTCACCAGCACAAACAGACATCATGGCATATGTGTGTCTGTTCACATGCATGTGCACACACATTACAAGCAATGACAATAATAAATTATTACAAAATACATTTTCTGAGAGGAAGATATGGTGACACACACCTGCAAATGCCACAACTGGAATGGCATGATGGTTTAAATAAGAATAGCGCCCACAGTGTCAGATATTTGAATGCTTAATCACCAGGGAGTGACACTACTTGCAAGGATTAAAAGGATTAGAAGTGTGTCACTGGGGTAAGCTTTAAAGTTTCAAAAGTCCATGCCAAGCCCAGAGTCTCAGTCTCTGCCTACAGATCAAAGCATAGTTCTTAGCTACTGCTGCAGCACCATGTGTGAATACTGCCGTGTTTCCTGCCATGAGAATAATGTAATGAACTTCTGAAACTATACATAAGCCCCCAGTTAAATGCTTTCTCTTATAAATAGTTGCTTTGGTCATGGTGTCTCTTCACAGCAAGTATGACTAAGACAGATGGTAAATCATTAAAGGATACGGATCAGACCAGGTTATATAGCACGTCAAGACAAATGACTATGCTTTAAAAATAAAAGAAAAAAAACTAAAAAGTGGATTATATGGTAAGAAAGGATTTAAAGATTCATCTTTATAGAGATATGGGCTTACATTATACATACCTTTGATAATAAATAACAGAAAAATCTTAGGGGTGAACAAACGTATTAATAATTTATGATTACAAAAATGTAAATGTATTTTGTGTTTGTATCAGTGAATGATGTGCATGCACTTCAGCACGTGGGCTTGCATGTATGGGTGCATGTGTGCAAGGATGTGAGTGCATGTGTGTGCATGTATGAATACATGACGCCAAGGCAGCAAGTGTCATCCTCGATCACTCTCCACCACACACACACACACACACACACACACACACACACACACACACACAAACACAGTGGCATCTCTCACTTGAATACTTGAATCTAGATCTCATTAACTTGACTAGTCTAGCTAGCTGACCTGCTGTAGAAATAGTCTGTCTCTGTCTCCTGAACGCTACCATGTGGGTGCTGGAGATGGAGTTCCAGCCTTCAGCTTGCACGGTAAGCACTTTACCTACTAAGCCATGCCCATGGTCCTGTAATACATGTCACAAGGATTTCTTACACATTGCTACACCACAGAACACTAAAAATCCGCTTGAAAATCATATTAATTAGCCTTTTTTCTGATACAAATTAAAGCAGTAATTCCATATATTAACATGTTTTGGTAGACAAGAACCTTCTAGTATTTAGAGAAGTAGAGGTAGGATCTGGAGAGCTGCTTGCTGTACACTTCAGAGTGTGTTCAAAACCACCTTGTCTGAATGCATGCTCAGTACATTTGAATTCCTAGTGTGCTTTTATTTCACCATTTCAACCAGGAATTAATGTTGTCACTTTTCAACCTTGTGAATTAGAGTTTTTTATTTTAAACTATAAAAAGAATCCTTTTTAAAGGAGTTTCTTTCATCTCAAATCCCCTATCAACATTTCCATTTATACCCAGAGTGGTTTAGTCTACTTTAAAATGTTTCTAATCTTCTTCAACCAAAACTTTGTATTTTCCTCTGACTGCTTTCAGTGAAACTGTTCTAAAAAGCCATGAGTGAACTGAAGAAGGAAGCCCAGGAGATGCACAGGAGGGATGATGCACCACCACACCTGAGGACCCCAGGAGGAGGAAAGAACTGACCTCTGACTTTTACATGTACATGTGGCCTGCATGCATTCATGTGTGTGCTTGTGAGCATGCACACATACACAAATAAATCAAGAACCATAATTTTAAAATAAAAAGGAAATGTGTCAAAATATAAAACAGGATGGCACAGTGTTATTTACTGGCAAGAAATAGTGAGTAATTAGAAAATGTTACTTCAAGTCTTTTGTAATGTTTTAAAATAAATGATTTTTTTGTTTTGTTTTGTTTTTCAAGATAGGGTTTCTTTATGTAACCCTGGCTGTCCTGGAACCTGCTCTGTAGACCAGGCTGGCCTAGAACACACAAGAGATCTAACTGCTTGCCTCCACCTCCTAAAAGCCAGGATTAAGGGTGTGCAACGCCATCACATGGCTATTCTTTGTAATTTTATCTAATGATCAGGCTTCCCTTATCCACTAAAACGAAGCTTAAAAAGTAAAATTATTTCAGGTGAAGAAATAATTCTTTCCATTAAATATGGAAATGACAATTTTCTATTAAACTTCAATATTTGTTAGGGAGACCTAGAGATTTTAGGCCACAGACTGTCAGCAATAGCATGAACTCAACCATCTTCATTAACAGTTTCCATTTTCAAAGCTGTTTGTCATTATTACATTAATTAAAGTTATATATTCTATAACTATTGCCTTTTTGTTATCCCTCAACCTGCTCTCAACAGAGAGTGAAGTATTTTTAGGCAGGACTGGCTCCTTCTTATCACATCATCTGCCAGGGTCACCTGATTGAGACTTATTTCTTGGCACGTAAGTAGTTGCACTAAATTCTATGGACACAATACCAAATTTTATCTGTGATAATATACTATGTTTGTGTATATATGTATTTTTAAAGCTATAAACATTTATGAATAAAGTCTAAAAGAAAAATTAGTCATCTGCCTACAAACAGTTCCCATGTGCCTTGTATGGCTCTTTTTTAATAAACAAAGCTTGAAAAAAAGATGCCTCTAAATTATTTGTCAAGATTACAAGAATAAATGAATGGAAAATTGCACCATAGTAGCAGACATAGTTTAGAAACCGACAGGGAGCTTCATAATATGATTACCGCTGTGGGCCAGTCTATGTAAATTACTTAGCATGCCACTCTAAAAATTATTATAAAGCCAAGTAGAAAAACACAGATGCAAGTATAAAGAGATTATTTCATTTGTTACAATGTTAATTATGGCCACAAGAAATATATAACTGACAATTTTAACCAAATCATTAAAATTAATAAATAAAGGGACATCACTCACAAGCTGCTCCGATTTCACAGCATATAACTGGATGGTCTTCACCACATTTTTTGACACAGCTAATGTGAGGTTTGCATCAACAGCAGCTACATTGAGTTCACTGAGAAAACAACAGCAGATTTCAATTATTAGCAAACATAATTCATCAACAAAGTAATCAGCATCATATAACCTGAGACCAAATAAAGAACAAACTGAATCTTTATATAGATTTTGCTAATTGCTTCCAAGAATTGGCTACAATGCTTCATTTTTCTCCCTAAATTAAGCATTAGGAAAAGGGCTTTGTTAACGATCGGTTTCACATTAATAAAAGCGAGCCATGTGTGGGTCTAGTCTACCATTAGGAGACTAAATTGTATACACTCATGCTAATACTGATAAGTGCAATTAGAGGCACTGCACGCCACAGACATCTGCAAGGAAGTGACAGGTCTTGAATGAAAATGATGACCTTGGAGGAACATAGGCTAAACATATAAATTACATATGACACATAGGACACCTGGGTTCTGTATAAACCATGCCAGCTCATTCTGCTGTGTAAAGAATAAATACATTAAGAGCATAGGGCTATAACTTTAATGTTTAAAATCTTAGATTCTTAAGTATGTCTCTGTCATATCCACTGTCAACTTTAACAGTGAACTGATAGGACTTTTGATTTGACTGGATATAGAAGGAAAGAGGACATTTTCCAAGAAACCATGGAACGAATACCACCAAGAGTTAAAAATCTCATGAAAACCATATGGAGTAGAAAAAAAATGCATTATCTCTGAAGTACATAAAATGCTCACATTTATGAGATTAACTTTTTTTTTGTTTTTTGTTTTAAAAAAAAAAAGATTTATTTATTTATGTGATTATACTGTTGTGCTCTTCAGAACCACCAGAAGAGGGCATTGGATCCGATTACAGATGGTTGTGAGCCACCAGGTAGTTTCTAGGAATTGAACTCAGAACCCCTGGAAGAGTAGTCAGTGCTCTTAAACACTGAGCCATCTCTCTAGCTCCAGAATAACTTTTTAAAGAAGCTAAAGGAAGTCATCCAGGGACTTGTAGTACTAGTACTTTGGAGGCAGAGGCAAGAAGATGCCTATGAGTTGAAGGTCTATGTAGAGACTTCCAGGACAACCATGGCTACATACATTTTGAGACTCTGTCACAAAACAAAACAAGCACTTAAAGAGTTTGAAACAACACTAGTATTCATGACAAAATGCCCATTCGTGTTGTTGAGGCCTGTCCCACGAGCCTAGCTGTAGCCATTATGTTCTTTGTTGCTCCTATTTCATATTGTTGCTGCAATATGCCTGCCAGTCATTAACACAGAAAAATAAACTGACTCAGAGCAGGGGCATGCTGATCACATTTCCTGTTATGTTTGGTATGTTATAAGGCTTATTGATCTCAAGAAATTCCCCAATCATGAGCTTCACTTAGGACCCATCAAATTAAAGCTCAATATGAACTGTAATGTCTAAAGTAGCTTGAATCAGAGACTGGGTAGCGCTTCCTGCACCTGCATATGAGCTCACTGTGGTTTTTGTGGTTTTAGCCTTTATAAGCTGGCCCTGTTTGAGGCCACCACCCCAGGTTCCATGTCTGGAGTTACAGGCCTCCCTGATCAATCAATCTTGGGGTGTGTATTCAATAAACCAGCCCTGTTTAACAAAGATCAGTGTCTGAATACTGTGTGTGGTGATTCCTGAACCCCAAAACATGTAGTACTAAGACTTTTCACTTTTACATTCTATTAGACACAGACATAAACATCCTTAAATCCCAGATGATAGTTGACTATAGTACTGTTACCCTTGATAATCAACATCCTTAGCATTTACAGAACTAGGTTACAGAGATCAAGTAGAATTAGCATGTCTCCCACAACAAGCACACTGAGTGAAGAGCTGTTAAGGTGAGAAGCACACAGTCAGGACTTTATCAAGTCCATGTATATGGTGGAAGGTCTAGGGCAGCAGAAACACTGTATAGGTACAGTCACAGCTGCAGATATGTATATAAGTATTACATCTGAAAACTGCCATCTTCAAATTTGTAGATTGAAAGAAACGTAAACCATCCTACCTCATGGTTCTAGATTGCCCAGACACTGTTTTCGCTCCTCAAAATGAAAATCACAAAGTTATGAGAACTTACCAGCCACGACAGAGACTGAGGTATGACCTGCAATCTTATTAAAATACCTTTGAAGCCAACAGCATAACTGCACTTGCCTGTCTCTGTCAGAAGTGTCTCCGTCAAATGCCTTCCCTTTTGAGATTAAAAGCTGTCAAACTCACTTGAAAGCCTAAAGTACTAAACACACCAGGCTAATCACAAGCATTAAGCCTGTTCCTGTCATAAAGTGATTTCTGGGTTAAAAACTCAGCTTTTATAGTTTGTATGATTATATTTGTTTTCCCATGTAATACTAAGAAGTTAGAGGAGTAAAAGGCCAAAGGATAGTTCCGTCTTGCTAAGATACAAAATAATTATAACAGATGATTTCTACGCTATATACACTATATTTGTATCTAAATGGGTTTATTAATTAGAATCTCAAGCATTATGTGAGTACTTACTACAAAACTTAGTTGAAACTCTAATCACTAGGCTAGTTTGAGGCAAACTGAAAATGTACTGCCACTAGCAAACATGGCAGGCAGCCTAGATTGCCATTATACAAGAAATACGTACCTTGTTATACTTTTAATGATCCCGTCAAGCTCATCAGAGGAAGGAGGGTTACGTCCTCCAGGAGGGAAGACCAAGTTGATGGGATCGAAGAGCCGTGACAGGGACTTTGAGAGATAAGCAGCCTCATAAGGCTGCAGTGAATCTTTCAATGCTTTTTCTGGACTATGAGAACAAAAAAATTTAAAAAGGTAAATAATAGCTATAAACTGTAGTTGTAACAAGAATTTCTTTTAAAAAGTTCTAAGCACTTTTATAAACAAACTTCATAACTAAACACCTATTAAAAATCACATAAGCATTTTAAGTGTAAAGCTCAGCTATCTAGTATACTATGTACTATACTGGCGGTCCCCTGAAATGAAAAGAATATTGCAAGAGTCTATAATTTCTATCCTGTTTATAGACGATCAAAGCGTACCCAAGATGTAGCCAGCAGATTCTTCTCACACTAGTTGAACCCTTTTAACTCACAACCCCCATCCTCCATAAAGCCTACTGTAAGGAGCAGGCCCTTAAACAGGACCAACTCCATTTTGTAATAGGAAACTTGTAGAGATTAGTCTGGTACTTGTAAAGACAAGTCTGGAAGTAAAAGTTGTGTTGTGATAACCAGCTGTGATGAGTTCAGAGCCCAGCAATAACCAGACACCAGAGTGGTTATCTGCCGTGTATGTCAGAAGTAACGCCAAATTCAACATAAAAGAGGAGCCTGATCGAAGTACTTCATCACACTTGTATACATGACTGGCTAACGTGATCCTCGGAACAAAGCCTCCTCAGCATGGGGTCATCAAAGAGTTAACTGAGAGACCTATGCCTCCAACTTCATGGCCAAGCCCCTACTTCAAACCAAGAGACCAATGCCTCCAGCTTCTTCGTGGTCAAGCACCCTACAAGGTCAAATTATCTGGAAGCCACAGCCTGACCCCACCTTCCCGGACTCCAGACCTGTAACCCAAAACCAACATAAGGACTCAGGTCGTATAATCCATAAATGAATGATGTATTTATTACTATGCTTATTTCTTTGGTAATTGGCAACTTATTATTTGTGTTCATTGTGCACACTGTTAGAGGCAATACATAGGAAATGTGGCAGTATCTTGTTGTAGTAATAACCTTAGCATTTCTGAAAATATATTGCTTGCTTTACATTATCATTAAAGAAGTAACTGAATCCCACAGCCTCTGTCTCTCTGGTATACTTTCTCCTCCCTCTCGTGGAGCTGATGGTCTCATAGTCAAATCCAGTATATGATCCCTGAGTGGAGCAGGACCAGCACTCCTCTCCCCAAGGGGGATTATAACCCCTTATCAATAGCCTGCTCATAACAGATACGAGTCCCTGCTCGAGACACCTACACACTACCTCCATAGGGTACGGAGGTAGGCCTTCCTTGAATTTCCATTCTTGGGATACTGCAAGAATGAAGACAAAATAAAGAAGTATTTGTGACAGTCCTGTAACAGCATCAATGTTCTCAAGGGGAGTTCTCTTACTAAACTCTTCTTTGCCATTTCCTGACTGGAAACCATCTCTGCAGGCCTGTTTAGCAGTCTATGACTAGATCTTATACTGTTCTTTTAATTACTAGCAAAGGCCTTTCACTATTCCCAAGAACTGTTTTACTCCTAGGATTTACAGCCTGTCTTGTCACATCTCCTTACAATCCCTTCAGCAACCTTCCCATTATCTTCTTTTTCTTTAGAGACTAAACTTTCTGTTGAGGTTTGGTCTTCCTGTCTATTGTAATGCTAAGTGCCAGCCCCCACGACCTGGAGTCTTGCAAGTAGACCCAGGTAACCCTGCCCCTAATGTATTTCTGATTGGTTTAAAAAAAAAAAAAAAGACACCTGGGCAGAAAAGACATAGGTGGGGCTTCAATTTCCAGGGCTTGAGGTTGAAGGAGAACCAGGAGAAGAAGGTGGAGGAGGAAGAGAAGTCACCATGGGTTAGCTGAGCCATAAAAAATGTAGCCCCCAGAGCTGGCCAACTGGAGGTAAGAGCAGCTCAGATGAAACACAGTAATTAATAACTCAAGATTATCGATAGGAAAGTAGATTTTAACAGCATAGAGAGTAGGTGTCTGTCCAGCCCTTGTGCTGTAGTATAAATGTAAATATAAAGGTTGTGTTTGTCTCTTATATGGAAACTAAATGGTGACAGGAAGGGGTAGAAACCCCAGGTCGGGTTTAAATAATTTCTACAACAACTTCCCTTCATCTTACATATCAGCCTTGACAACATCTGACCTGTTCTGTGTATGGCAACAGTCTCTCTTCTTAACCATCTTGCCAACCTACAAGCCTAGAGATCAGACTGCTCGTGGCTCCTGAAGCACTAGGATCTAGTCATCACTTGATGCGTTCTCCCTCAGTGAGTACTCCTCCCCACAGGTTTACTGGGAATAGGCACAAGGCACTTGATAAAGGATGAGGAGTGTTCTACAGTCTCGTGAAAAGGGAGGTGAAGTCCAAGTATAAAAGTGACTTCTGGTATGTGCCACCCTTTACTATCTCCTCTCTTCCCTCAAATATCACTACGTTTTTGCAGTCTGCCAATTATTTTCCTGTACATAAAAATTCCACAATGCACTGGGTTTGAAAAAACAAAACCAAAAACAAAAACAGTACACTAGCCTCGTAAAGTTCACAAGGTAACAGGGGATGTATAGAACGTTAAACATCAGGTTAAACAAGTAGCGTACAGTGGTTAAAAATATTGGCTGCTCTTCCAGACGACCTGGGTTTGACTCCCACAATCCACATGGCAGCTCACAATCTTCTGTAACTCCAGTTTCAGGAGATCCAAGACCCTCTTCCGGCCACCATAGGCACTAAGCATGCAATGGCACACAGGTTTACATGGGAGCAGAACACTCATACAATTCTTTAAAAAGTAAGTCATGATGTCAGTATATGACAACAGTCAGTGCTAGAAAACTAAAGTAACAAAAGAGCAAAGCACTGTCATTAACCATCTTTACAACATTTAGTATCTTATCAGGAGGCCTGCAACCCACACAGTTCTACCACTACAGCTCTTCAGTCTCAATGACCAACACAGCAGACCACTGGGCACATTCTATTTTACTTATCTGCAATTTGATTTGTCTTCTACGATTTTCCTATTATTTTGATATAAGAAGTATATTTGCTTTATTTACTTTAAAATAACAAAAGTTTGCCGGGTGATGGTGGTACACACCTTTGAGCCCAGCACTCCAGAGACAGAGGCAGGCCTTTGAGTCTGAGGCTAGCCTAGTCTTCCAGAACAGAGGAACCCTGTCTCTGAAAAACCACAAAAAATTAAAAATTAAAAAAATATTCAGAAAAATATAATGTCCCTCTTTGTTTTCCATTAAAATGAGCATTATTAAAATAAATTTAAATATTATGCAATTTAATTTCTTAAAGTCTACAGTTCAGTTCAATACTTTTATACATAAGATCTCTGCAATCATCAATCAGCAGTGTCAATCAAATATTTGTTTCATGTTAAAAAACAACAACAACAAAGATCCTTGGGCTGGAGAGATGGGTCAGAGGTTAAGAGCACTGGTTGGTCTTGCAGAGGACCAGAGTTCATCTCCCAGCACCCACATGGTAGCTCACAACCATCTGTAACTACAGTTTGAGAGAGCCCATATTTTCTTCTGATATCAATGGCCATATAATATACTTAAGTATGTACAGGCATTCATACCCATAAAATAAATAAACCTTTAAAAAAACAAAAGAAGAGCCAGGCATATTGATGCATGCCTTCAATCCCAGCATTCAGGAAGCAGAGGTAGGTAGATCTCAGTGAGTTCAAGTCCAGCCTGGTCTGCAAAGGAAGTTCCAGGATAGCCAAGGGCTGTTATATAAAGAAACCCTGTCTTGGAAAAAAACAACAAACAAACAAACAAATAAATAAGAATAAATAAATAAGAAGCTGGCCTGGTAGCACACATTCTTAACTAATCCCAGCACTTAAGAGATAGACAATCTCCAAATTTGAGGCCAGCCTGGCCTACAGAGAGTTCTAGGATAGGCAGAGTAATCCTTTTTCTAAACTGCCCCTCAAAAACCTTGTCTCCTTTGACTATCACCCACGTCAACCAACATACATACATTCTCCATCCGCAGTTCGGAGTGACCACTAAGCTACACTATATTTCCTTAGATATCATTACTCTAGATTTCATATAAGTGGTGTGTATGCTTTACCACTGGCTTCCTTCATTTAGCATGATGTGATGTTTTTCGAAGTTCACTCATGTTCTCAGTTCTTCCTTGGCACCTTTATTAGTGCTTCATTTCCTTTTATGGGCAAACAATGTCCATTTACAGATAAGTTTTTACTTATTCATTGATATTACAACATTTATTATCTTTCCATATTTAAGCTCTAATAAATAATGCTGATATAAGCATTTGTGTACATATTTCTGTGTGAACATGTTTCTATTTCTCCTCTAGACCTAGGAGCGAAAATGCTGGGTCATATGGAAATGATGTTTAATAGTTCAAGAAAAGGCCAAATGACTTTTCAAAGTCCTGTGTCATTTCAGATTTCTACTAGCAGAACATACTATATTTTCATTATTAAATCAGAAACATTCTTTATGTAGACTAGATACAAGTTGCTGTTAGACATATGTACACATATTGTTAACTGTTAATGTACTGGAGGTTTTACTTTTAGGGCAGTGATACACACACACACCACTACATTCTTTCACTGGTTGGTCTTTCAGTATTATATCTAAGATTCTTTTTACCATATCTTGAATTATAAAGATATGCCTTTATATTCTCCTATAATAATGTTTATACTATACACTTAAAATTTTAACAATTTATCCTATGTATGTATATATACATGTATCATATATATGCACATACATACATACATATGTATACATGTATGCATCATATGTAGGGCTGGTTCACAGAGACTTTAGAAGAAGTAATCAGATCCCCTGGAACTGGAGTAATGAATGGTTATGAGCCTCCATGTGGGTGCTGCAAGTTGAGCCTGGGTTCTTTGTGAGCAACAAATGCTCACAATTCCTAGGCCATATGTTTAACCCCTATATTGAATATATAAATCTATGGTCTATTTTTAGTTTATTTTTGTATACAGTATCACAAAAACATCCAATTTCATCTTTTTGCTCATGACTATTGTTTATCATTTGTGAATGGCTCCTTCTGTCATTATGTACTTTTTAAAAATCAAATTAACATAGACAATGCAGCTCTTTCTACACTCTGAATTCTAATTTATCCTTGTGGCAGTACCAAACCATTATTATTAGAATGTGAAATGTCCCCCCACAGACATTGGGAGCTTAGCTGCTAAGCAATGGGCTTTGGGAAGCTGCCTAAACATTTTGGGGCTCTGACTTAACAAATGGATGAAATCCTTGATGGTTTCATCACACAGGGGAAAGGGCAGAAAGTTGGCAGTGGTACCAAGGGGAAGAAATAGGTCACTGGGAGCAAGCCCCTGGGAGCTCTATGCTGCCCGCCCTCTGCTCCTTGGCTGCTAGGAGGTAGACTGTTTGTCTCCACTGGGCTTTCCTCCATAATGCTTTCCCTTGCCAGAAACAAAACAAAACAAAAACAAAAACAGAAAGAAACCTGGAAAGCAATAAGCCAAAACCAAGCTTTTCCTACTTTATATTGCTTCTCTCAGGTGCCACAATGACAAAAGCACTGACTATACAGATGTCTTGACTAGCAAAAAGCAAAAAGCAGAAAATCAGGATTCTATCATCTGGATATAAAGTGTTCTTCCCACTGGTTTTGTGCTATTTCTAGTTCTTTCCTAGTGCTCCTAGTGCATGCACATGGACTGAAAAATAAAGCTAAACCACCAGAAATACACTGATACTGAATAAGGTATTTTATAGCAATACCTAAAAAGTTAATGTATTATTATATTTCTTCAGCTTTGCCTCCTCTCACTAATCTGTTTTTTATGATAAAATAACTACTGAGGAGACAATCTGGTCTCAACCTACCATTCCAGCCTAACCTGGCTATGTACTTCACTAGTCAGTTATAGCAGAAATTACCAGCTATATTAGGAAAAATCTGAAACAGAAAAAAGCAGCTAACACTACCCGGACCTGCCCAGTGTTTTTTTCTTACTCCGTAAGGGAGAAGAATCCACCAATAATTTATCAGTGTTGTGAGAACAAACAGTATTTCAGAATTTGAGAAAAGCTAATGTGGCACTCATGCAGAAATGTGAAATCAGATTTTGTGGAAAGCTGTCAGGGTAGAATTCATAAACATGATATATTGATTTCCAATGTAACTCTTTTTTTTGTTTGTTTGTTTGTTTGTTTGGTTGGTTGGTTTTTGGAGACAGGGTTTCTCCGTGTAGCCCTGACTGTCCTGGAACTCACTCTGTAGACCAGGCTAGTATCGAACTCTCAAACTCAGAAATCCGCCTGCCTCTGCCTCCCAAGTGCTGGGATTAAAGGCGTGCGCCACCACCGCCCTGCCCAATGTAACTCTTAAAGCTGGTTACAAAATGCTTGCTTTGTGGCAACCCAAGGCAACATCTGAGACAGATTCCACTACTTAGTCTTTTATAAAACACTGACTAAGAAAGAATCCAGCATAAGATTTATTGCCTTGGTCGTTTAAACACACTACATCAACTAAAAGGCAAAGATTACATTTGCTTATCACCCAGCTTTTAATGACCCAGCATAGTGTTAAACTTCAAAACCCATTCAGGTAGAAAGTATAATGCTAAGCCAAAGGTCAATTAAATCTTTATAGGAAAAATTTTGCAAAACATAAAAATCATTCCAAAGACTTAGAAGCTTAGTATATTACCAGCTTCTAATTTATAAGGAAAGTAGAAAACAGAATTCCTAAAATGCCAATAATCATTCAAATTAAATAAAACATACTCATAGTCTGGCCTTTTCAGAATGAACATGTCTTGGGTATCGTCTTCCATGTGTGGGAGGTCCACATTGAGGTCAGGAGTTCCACTTGTGTTAAACGTTCCTTGGGTATTTTGACTGTACTGCTGAAGACGCTTCCATAAGTCATTATAAAGACGTAATAGTTTAGGGTATTCACCTTCAAATGCTTGTTTCAGAAACATAGAAGCTGCCAAGGAAAATATATATTAGATAAATCATAAGGCAATGAGAAGTAGTAAATCAGAATTTGCTTTGCACATAAATATGTAATAAATAGACCAATACTAAAGTAAAGGACAAACTGAAGATATATATTACAAAGACACCTCTGAAAATAATGCCAGAAATTCATTGCATTTGGTCAAAGCCCATCTAATCTGAGATGTTATTTATATTAAAAATAGATTAAATTCACATTTTTAGTTGAATATGTCCTTTTTTTGATAATTGATAAAAATAGGCACACAGAAAGCCTGGATATAGTACAACCATTTCTTTCTTAAGCAGTGTCTATCTAATTTTGTTTTGTTGATTGTTTTAATAGCAAAACCAAAGATAGTAAAGAGAAACAAATTTAAAGAATAACATTTCTCAGGTGCAAACATTAAAAATAAAACTTTTCCAAATGTAATCCAGCAACATTTAAGAAGAATGTGACATGACTGAGAATTATTCCAGGAATTAATCATTGTTTAACATTTTAAAATCAGTCAGTGTGACTCATCATACTAACAAACCTCTAAGAAAAATTGCATTATCTTCCAATAGAGGAAAAAGGAAAAAAAAAAACCCTAACATTTACTCCTAATATCAGTTCTAAGGGGAAGCAGGATCTGAAACAGATGCCCACAGTGGGAGTGAGGAGTCCACAGTGCCTTCAGTGGAATCAGCACACTCCAGTAGCTGGAAAACAGACTATCAGGCTACAGAGGAATAGGTGACACTGTTTAAGAGGCAGTGTGATCAACTACGGGAGTTGACAGGCGTTTACACTTCACATACAATTCAATGAGCAAACGAGCCATATGTATACACTGGCAACAAGCACTCAGAAGTTGAAGTTCTAAAACAATACATTAGCAAAGCATTAATATATGAACATTCTAGCTATACATCTAACAAAATATGATGACACTGTGGAAATGATAGTGACCTCAGGAGACCTAAATATCTACAGACATAATATCCAATTTAGTAAGCCAATTGATATAGGTGAATAATGCCCAGATTAATCTGCACATTAAATGTAATCTCATATAAAAATTAATGAAGGCCTTTTGTGGAAATTAAGAAAATGACTAAAAATTCCTATGGAAAAGATCTAGAAGAACAAAATTAACTTTTGAGAAAATAGGAAACAACCCTGTATAATCTCAAGATTTTAAAAACTATGATAAGGCAGAGTCATAGCGACCTGTACCCTGAACCTTCACCCAGCAGATACCCTGTTCTGAAAGATATCTGTATTCCCCTTGAACACCCACACTCCGGTGTCATCCCCTTCCCCACGTCCTGTCTTTTTGTGTTTATAACCCCTGTATGAATAAGTAAAAATTACGATTTGAAAAAATAAATAAATAAATGAAATAAAAACTATGATAATCAAAATGCAAAGATAAACTGGTGAGGGTCCAATGTCAAGAAATGTAACAATTTAATATTTATATGCACACCCCTTGCAATATAATATCTTTGTGCCTTATATAGAAACTAATTCACAAAAGATTTAACTTTCTAGACAAGTATGTGAGGAAATTTGCCTTCCCATGGCTAACACGTGATACAAAACCCGTGTCACCATCACTGAAAGGAATCATGGAGAATCTGCATCAAACGTTTCTTTTCCTCAGTAGGTACCATGGAAAGAACAAGGCAGCCCAGAGTGGAAAAACATATCCATACATATTTCACAAAGCATTTACAGCCAGAGTATAGAAAGTCAAATTTTTTTTTTATAGAGGAGCAGTATCAAAGAAGCTCTACGGATGGCAAATAAGAACTAGAAAACATTAAACACCTTCTATCAATTGTCAACTGTAAATTAAAACTACATGGTCACAACTGAATTAATTGTTCAAATGTCTTAAACTAAAAACAAACAAAATAAAAGTCTATAAAAAATTTGAAGATATAGAAATGGAACTCTGAAACACATTGTTGCAAAGAAACAGGATGGTGTGTGTGTGCGTGTGTGTATGTGTGTGTGTGTGTCTGAAAGAGAGACAGAGAGTAAGAGAGAGACAGAGAAAGACAGAAATCCACCATTGTATTCCCAGCTAGATATCCAAAAGAAATAACAATATATGTCTATATAAGGACTTGTACATAAATATTAAAACCATTCTTATTTCAGGAGGCCAAAATTGAAAACAACCAAATGACGTCAACAGATATATACATGAACAAGATGAGGGGGGGAAAAGCCACATACAACACAGACAAAATAATACATATGGGTAACATTTAGCAATAAAAGCACAGTAAAGTACGGATAACCCTCAATGAAAGCATGCACCAGCACGAGGGCAGTCAAGTAAAACGTGTGATCTACTCTGTACTACTTAATTTGTCCAGACTTCTAAGACACAGGTACAGATGTAAGAAGCAGACCAGCGTTGGCTGGCTGAGGTAAGATGAGCTAGAAGGAACCACAAAGCATAGCAACCTGGGGAAGGTGGAGAAACGGCCACTGAGGTTTCACACTTGTTTGGTTTTGGAAGATGAGTGTCTCATTCTGTAGTTCAGGCTGGTCTGGAACTCACTGACTGTGCAGTCTAGGCTGACACCAAACTTGCAGCAATCCCCCTGCTTTGGCCTCTAGAGTACTAGTACTACAGGTTTGGCTTAATTTTTATTGATGTGATGGTCTGACAAGATTCTATATGAGTCAAAAGTTATCAGCTTTATCAATTTTATCAGCTTACCAATTTTATCCTAGTAAAGCTGCTTCTAATGGAAACAGCTGAGAAAGGACTTCTTTGGCTTCCCTCCTCTGCTAATGAAGCAGTAATCCATCACTGGCCCCTGCACATTCCTAACATATTTTCTTCCAGGGTGTACCAATAAAGCAAGGGTCTAGTTGATTGTATACTAGTAAAAAGAAACCTTGACAGAGGTTTTGCCCTTCTGCTGAGAGAATGCAGGTTTTGCATAGCTCACTAATGTGATAGTATGTAAACCAAGTCAAAGGTTCTTTCCCTGTGATGTCACCTCTACCTGAACAAGTACCAGGCATGTATAACGCTCAGGCTGCTCCACTTCTTTCTTTCTCATCCTTCCTCCACATACTTGCACACTGTGGTGGCTCCTGTTGAAGGCTGGCAGCCCCCAGGGTAGACCCTGAAGACCCCAGCAAGTGGGTATCTACAGCCTGCCTGTGCCAAGCAGCAGAGAGCAGGTCTGTGGGTAGCATAGCCGTCTGCAGGTCTCTGTCCATCTTCCTCCTCCAGAGCTACACTGCTGCCTGGATTTGACTTGATTTGATTTTTATATGTCCTAGGCATAAAACAAGCCTTGGACAATCAAGCCAGGCATAAAGCTAGGACGAACAAAGGACTACCAACTGCTCTGCCCCTGACTGAAATAATAACATGCTGTCTCTTTGCCCATTGCCAGAGGGGTACAAAATCATTTTTAAATTTAACAACTTTAAGTTTTAGAGGGGCTCAATGTTTACAGAAATGTCCTTTATTTTTAGATGTTGTTTTTAGTGGCTTGAGGAATGAAATGGGAAATGAATCAAATAATCTTGATTAAAGAAAACTGAATCGGTTCACTTTGACTTGACTTGTGTCTTATCTCTTTTCTCCTGCCCATGGAGCTAGAGAGACGGCTCTGCAGGTAAGGGCTTGCTGCTGCTCTTATCCTGCCATTCCTACATCTCTCTGCTTCTTGGATTTACTTCAGGTTATAGTCCTAAATCTACAGATTCAAAACTAAGTATCACAAAATAAAATCTGAGATGCTTCCTTTCTTGACCTCAGTTACTTCACTCCTGCCTGAGAAGTTTACACAGCATCAAAAGGTGATCTGTAAGCTACATGGGCAAAAAGCAATCAATAGTCTACCCACTTAGTTCTAAAGCCTAAAGCCATAATGACTAGCCCAGAAAGATGTCTCCAATGGTACAACTGTAGCACTTTTATCCTGGGACTAGTCAACAGCTGTGTAACTGGACTCAAGGCCCCTTCACTGGGAAGGAACTCATTAGCCAACTATCCATGGTTTGAAAGGCCCCAAAACTAGAGGAAAATCTACTACCACAATTTTCCTTAAACCAATATAATTTCTAACTGTATTCTAAATACTTATCCTTATACCCACAAGTAAGTCTAGTTTTCACCCTTCATCAAAGTAGCTCCTTTTTGCAACAGAGATTAACAACTGGTCACACAAAAAAGGGTAAATAACCATAAGGTGAATATTTGCAGTTGATACATCTACAATACAACCCCTGCTAAGGCTCATGGAACACTGTAGAAGAGGGGACAGGAGTATCAGATGGAGAGGACCAGGATGCCTGCTGCTAAATAGTATCTTCTAGGCACAAAGAAACCTCAATAATAATAAGTTATCTAAACAAGACCTGTGTAATTACACCACCAGATGACATGCCGACACAGATGAACAAAACCTCACAGCGCTCTACCTTATGATGGAGACCACAGACAGCAAATGGCTGCTGAAAGAAGAAGAATCGGTTTCTTCAAGAAATGAACTCACCACCCAATCCCTAGTGGTCATTCCTAAGCACATGAACATAGGAACTGAACAACACTGAATGAACTCAGTAGGTTGTGAGTGTATATGTGTAACATATAACACATATATGCAACTAATAAAGAAGGGCTCAAAAGTTGAGAGGGAACGGGAGACACACAGGAGGGAGTAGAGAAGGTGGAAGGAGGCGTGGAAATGTACATTCAGCACTTCTGCATGAAGTTCTGAAACATTAAAAATTCAAAAAAAAAAAAGACACAAACTTAAAAAAAAAATACTTTCTTCTGTAGTAGAAGATCTGCTTTTGGAACTGAGAACTGCCTGTAACTCTAGATCCAGGAGACCTGACACCCTCTTCTGGCCTCCAGAGCTGCTGCTTACCTTTGATGCTTTAAACTCACACATGCACACACAAACACAAAAATAATACATAAATAAATCTTTTATGAAAAAGAGATCCCAATTTTC